CCACCTGCATAATTGGATTCATTAGACACGTTCACCAGGTGTTCATCTCTTCCTTCTAGAAGACTCTTCTCAGGCATCAAACCAAACCCAGGCTCTGGAGAAAGGTGTAATTCTGCAGCTGGGAACTCTCCTGACAGTTTATCATGAGCTGGTACAGACAGCACTCCCTGCAGGGAGCTGTGTGGACATGCTGCTGAGAAGCCTCAGCAAGACATACGCAATTCTCACCTCCCTCATCAAACATGTGAGTGCTGCTCTGCTGACAGTGGGTTGGCTGGGATCTAAAAACTTTTTCCCCATCTGCTACAGCAAGCTCACAGTGACCCCTGGCAGCAGCTACACTCACGACTGGACTGCTGATCTCTTGCAAGAGTCGAGTCCTTATTCTGTTGGCTTTCATGCCCTCAATTTCATGACCTTTCTGCCACAGTGATAGATGTACCAGTGGAGATAAAGACAAGTCTCTCTCCAGCTAAATTTGACTGTGCGTGTCTTGGAGTGGCTCTTTCCACTGTGTCATGTAGGTTCCTCTGTATGAAGCTGTGTGCCACAATGAACAGCACTAGCGGCGTTCTCGCGGTGCTCAGCAATCCTGCCCTTGCCACTCATTCCCGTCTAAGGCTTGAAGCATCGGACCTGGGGGAGCTGGGCCATGAAAGCAGGCCAGGGGAGCTAGTTTGAGACACGGTGGTGAATTCCCATATCTTACAGCTCTGGAGTACAGACGTGGTATTTGGGATGTAGCAAACCACTGGGGAGGATCATTCTTGCAAACCTTGCCCTCCCTGCTGTGCCCTTGTACAAGCTTCTTTGAGCCCTGCCTGGAACCACTGTAGCTAGAAGAAACTCTCTCATGTTTTCCTTGCAGTATATCCAAGCTTGCCGCAGCTCCTCGAACACGATTCCAGGAAGGCTAGAAAAGCTGGTGAGTGTGAGCAAATTGCTGGAGGAAATGGCTCATTGCCTTGAGTTAGGACTAACACCAACCTCTGCATCTTTGCAGGTGAAGCTCTCGGGTTCCCATCTGACCCCACAGTGTTACTCATTCATTACTTATGTACAGGTAAGGCCTAAATTAACCATGGCAAAATCACAGTGAGTCTATCTCATGCAGAGTGGTGTATCAGCTGCAATACATGGGCACCTTTAGAGACTATTAATCTTTTTGAGATTGAGTTTCCTATATTTCAAGCTTTACTATGTCAAATAATACTATAAGACATTTCAGCACCATTGGGACCAAACATGTTGATTTGTGCTTGCGCAGGGAAGGAAGAGTGTTTGGGGAGATGGTTTTTAGCTTTTATATTTTCCCATCTCTGTTCATGTCATTTTTTTTTGGGTGATGGGATTAATACTGCTGTTAACCGCAATGGCAAATAAAGGTCAACAACACTGCAGTCATCACAGTGTAAAGTAATGTGGGTGTCAAAGACTGCAGTGCCAAAGATGGGATTTAGCTGTTTGGAGAGGAATTGGGTGCTTGAATGAGGAATTGCAGAACAGACACAGCATATTGGGGAAGGTGCAGTGGTGTGCAGTTACCTCTCCTGGGGATTTCTCACACATACATATTTCTGAATGTATAAATTATTAAATTAGTTTTTCCTTCCTCCTTCTTTGGAGATTACCCCCAGGTCCATCCTTCTTCTATCACTACTTTTCTGTCATCTAGCTTGTAATGCTGTTAGCTGGCCAGAGCAAAGATTTCTCTGGCCTTACTCAGCTGACCTTTCTTCCCTGCTTACCCTCTAATGCCACATCTTTTGTCATCCTCCTTCAGAACATCCACAGTGAGAGCTTAAGCTTTGCAGAAGAGAAGAAAAAGAAGAAGAAAGAGGATGAAGCTGCTGCCATCTCCACAGTCATGGTAAGATGGACTCACTCTCTGTTAGAACATGGGACGTGGGCTGCGTTTGAACTGGAGATGATACCTCAAGGTTTGTGTTACCTGTTGGTTTCACCAATGACAAATTGTCATCTGGGCCTTTAAAAATCTAATTTATTTTATGTTAACTTCAGATAAACATTTAAAAAAACAAAACCCAAAAATACGCTTCACTAAACACAACCTAAAAGGTTACAGGCATGGAACAAAGGTAAATTCTGGATAGTCTGTCTTGTCTGATATATTATCATTTAGGGTAAGCTATGAAATTACAGAAATGGGCTAATTTATTGGAACCAATACTGCACACTGCTTCTTATATTTATCAGTACATTTAAAGATAAAGTAGTGGATTCCACTACAGTGATGCAGTTGAGAATGACTGCCTGACTTGGCTGGGATCAAGTGAGCAGGCTGACAGGTTCCTGGCATTTCATGTCCTTTGTTTGTGCTCCCAGCCAGCATTTCCTGTGTCTCGTCAGTTGTCCCAGACATTTGTATGACATTAAGTGTTTAAAAGCCACAAGCCTGATCTTCCTCTCTGTTCCGAGTGTGTGGAAATGGGCTGAAATGCTCCATGTCCTTTTGCCACTCTATCAGCATGGGAAACAAACATCAAAGGTGTTAAACAAATGGGGCAAAAATGTGGTGAAACAGCAGTGTGCTCAGTGCCTGGAAGGCATACCCTGGTGATGCCTTTGCAGAGCTGGAGCAGAAGAAGTTTTGCTGTGATGGCTGTCAGGCTTATCAGGGCTGTGGACTGCAGGCAGAGTACAAAACAATGTTTGGGAGAGCTTCACTGCAGAACCATCGTGGGAGTAAATGTAAAACCAGTAACAAAGCTGCCAAGGCTGGATGGGGCAGGACTGGTATGGAGCAAGGTTACTGAAGACACTTTTCTAAACTGTAGTGGTTGTGGTCTTCATGTCATGCTACAGCATCACTGTCTTTTGAGGGAAGTAAGCCGCTGATAGGTTAGTGCCGTAGCTGGGACGCTTGTTAATTACGACAGTAGAAGGGACTCTTCAGGCTGTTCACTTCCAAATCTGAGCTTTCACCCTCCTTTCTGCATTTCAGGCTAAGGTGCTTCGGGAGACCAAGCCAATCCCAAATCTGATTTTTGCAATAGAGCAATATGAGAAGTTCCTTATCCATCTCTCCAAGAAATCAAAGGTAACACAAAGCAGAGCTCTTCTGTGACCTGAATTCAGGGGAACAGTGGCATGGTGGAGGGTTATTGCTGTTCCACCTTTTTAAATCTCCACTGCTGCTCATATTGGGAAGGTGTAAGGACCTTACCACTCTTTTAGCCTTTGCCCAAGCTCCTGGCCCAACACTACTGAATTGCTGTCACATTGACACCACCAGGTGTCAACAGCAGCACTGCCTGTGACCTAACATTGTGTGGATTTCTGGTTGAGCAGAAACTTACACCTCCACTGCCAGCTTTCTTCACCCCACTTGCCCAGTCTGTTTCATAAGCACTTACTACACAAGAGTGAGAATAACTGGTAATCACTGGGCTTTTAGGAAAATTTAAATGGCTTGCTGGATTGCATGGGGGCAGGTCCTTTTTCACCCACCTTTTGCTTCAGTCCTGCATCAGCACTGTGATGGACTTAGTCCCAGTGCTGTGCAAACAATTAGGCAGAGCAGAAAACTAAACTAAGATGCTAAGAGGCATAATGTCCTCTCCCCCTGGTTTCACTGTGGTTGCTGCAGGTGAACTTGATGCAATATATGAAGCTGAGCACCTCCCGAGACTTTCGCATCAATGCATCCGTGCTAGACAGCGCATTGCAGGAGCATAACACAGAGGATGCTGAAAACGAGACGGACAACGACCAGGTCAGAACCCATGTAGCTACTTTTACCAATAGGTTTATGCCTCTTTTGAGGCTAACTGTATTTGTAAGCTGTGCAGGGCTATGTGAAATTAGGACAGTTTGTCTTCCCTGGGTTAGCTCTCACTTTACTATTAAAGTGATACAAAGAAGTGAAGAGTGAGTCTGGCCAACACCTGCAACACTCCAACCCTCTGCCTGGAGTGACCTTTATTTCCATGCACCACTTGTCTGTATCTCAGGTCTCAGGGAAAGGAGACTGCTCTTAAGGCCTTGGTGTTTGCCTCAGCAAGCAGAGAGGTCTGTTGGCATTATCTCTGAGGACCTAGTGGCTGGCCAAGATCAGACCTCTGTAGCATGATGCCAAGTGGGTCTGCATCCAGGTTAATGTTTGTAGAAAAACAGCTGACAGGGCAAACTCTGTAAGGCATTGTTCTCCTCAGACCGATCTCTGCTGCTGGAGGTGGCACAATCTGTGCTGAATAAGAAAATAAACAATTTATTTTGCTGATTGTCCAGGTTTTTATTGGTGCTTCTGTCCACATTTTCCTGAGTGTTTCAACAACCCAAAACCCAGCACAAACAGTCCCTGTCTTGTGCCATTCATAACCTGGCATAATCCATTCATTCAGTATGAATTTGGGGGGGTCCCCGAGGAAAGTCTCAGTGAGTGAGAGGAGTCACATATTCAGGTCATTTTGTTAGGGGGGGGAAAAAAAAAAAGAGCTAAATCCTGTTCTGCATATCTGGTTTCATGCTTTAGGCAAACATTCCTTAGACTGATCATACAAAAACAATCACACTCTCTACTGCTACTCTCTCCCTCCCTTCTCCAGAGCAGCACAGCACAACAGACAGATGAGAACCAGGAACCCAAAAAGAAGAGACGGAGAAAAAAATAAAGCTGGGGTTGCTGCTGCTGCCTCCTCCCACAGTGCCTGTTCTGTGGCAGACTCGCCTTGGTCTTGGAGAACTACATGTACGGACACGATGGCTTGTTGCTCCTCTTGCCAAATACTTTGTGCCCACAGGAGTGCAAGCAGCAATTTGGGCCCCTGTCTCAGGTTTTACAGCTGACTGCTGCCTTCAGAAGTGCCTCTGCTATTTGGATGTGCTGCTATCAAAATCTTCTATGCCAGGAACATCCCTTACAGCAAAAAGGAAACAGAGTGACCAGGATGAGTCCCTGCAAAAAGATCTCCTTCTGAAAAGACAGTCAGGCTCTGGCACACTCTCTGGACAGTTGTCGTTCTGGCACTCTAGCGTCATCACTTCTTCTCGAGTGAACCTTTGGTTATTTCAATTAGCTGATAGATATCCAGTGCTTCTCCTGGAAGACAATGGGACAATCAGTTCCCTGCATTCTGCAGTACACTCGGAGTCTGTCTGGCATGAAAAAGTGACGGTCATGATTTGCTTTAGTTCAGAGTGTGTAGCACAAAAAGCCCCATATCAAACTTGTTTTGTGTGGAACCAGCAGCAGTAGGAAGCTGGAAACACAAGCTGTTCCCCCTTGCTGTTGAAGCTTGCAGCTCCTGAGAAGCAGAGAGGTGACAGCTTCCTCGGGCAAGGCTGGTTTTGCTGTTATGTGTTTGCTGTTATGTTTTTGCAGGCCCTGATGCAATGCACTTTTTAAATTTGCCTTGTTCCTGGTGAGAACAAAGTGCCCTTTTTTTCCCTCAGGACAGAAAAATCCTGTTTCTAAAAGCACCCTTTGCCTGTCAGACTCTAATAAAGGTTACCTAAGAGTGGAGTGTCTGATGTGTCCAGTGACTGAGAGAACATCGAGGAGAAGCTGTTTAAAGCAGCTCCCAGCCAAGAGTTAAAAGTTTGTAGCAGTTAGAGGGTTATACTGAGTGCACACAGGCACGACTGCAGGGCTTGGGACTGTTGGGGAAGAAGGCAGCAATGCCCAGGCAGTCCTCTGACCAGAGCTGTGCTAAGGGGGAGGGGGGATGGAGAGAAAGCCCTGAAAGCTGGAAGAGTTTGGGTCTGGAGGGCAAAATACACAAGGCTGTTGAGGCACCTTATTTCAGAGAGGGAACAATTCAATCTTGGGCTATGCTACAAGTGCACAGGAGGGCTCCTCTCCGAGGGGCACAAAGCAAATGGGTGCATGGGCTAACAGAGCCAGGCCCGGCTCCTTGCTATCAGAAATACTTGGTAGCAGCAGCACAAACTACTTGGGGATTGTGAAAAGAAAGGGGGGGTAGAGAGGGGCTGGCAGTGGCCCTGCAGGGCAGATGACAGGTTGGGAAGCTCATGAAGTGTCTGCTGTGCAGAATCCCTTGGGGACCAAGTGCTGTACCTCTGCCAGCTTGTCCAGAGGGACCAGCTATGCTGGGGATAGCGCACACACACCCCGCTCACCTTGGGGGATGCCATACTTCTCCATCCCACTTGGATTTGATGGTGTCACACAGTTCATGGTCACCTCTTTCCTTAAGCACTGGTCAACATCCACTGCACTGAAGAAAGCCACTGACTGGGGCAGATCCTGGAGCCCCAGTTTGTAGGCAAACATGCACCTAGAAGAACAAAAGAGGAGCTGGGACAGTGCTACGCATCACCCTCATCCTTGTCACACCTGGCTTTGCCCAGCCTCAGGTTTACAAAGCACTGTCCAGCCCTCGCTAACAGGTCACTTTGCACCCACATCACTCAGCAGCCAGAAGACAAGGTGCTTTTAAAGTACCAGGAGGATCAAGTATTGCTAAAGTGGGTGTGGGATGAACAGAGTAACAGTACAGTAAGCCTCCGTGGAAGAAAGGAAGGACTCAGCCCTTCGCTGCTGGCTAATCCTCCCAGGCAGTGCGGATGCCAGATTTCCCCAGCAGGAAGCCCTGTGCTTGTAGAGCTGGCACAAAGGTACAAACATCAGGGCACCTGCCCCTGCTGCGCCAGCACAGAAAGGCTATTTGCTGTATCCCTGCCTCAGAGCAGGAGAAAACAGCTCTGCTCGGGCAGGAAGCGTATTTGGCAAAGCTGGCCATGCTGGAGCCGCATCGAAGGGAGCCCCCGGGGGTCAGGAGCATTCTAGGCTTTGCAGGGGACAAGGAGGCAGCAGCAACATCCCACGCTGCAGAAGGGTCAACAGGTACAGTGCTCACAGCACAATGAGTCGTGCCCCTTGCTGCCCCGAAAGCAGGGAGGAGACAAGGGATGGGGACAGTTTCAGGCTCCTGGCTGCTCAATCAAGCCCAAGGGCTGCGGCCACATCAACCCCAAGGGCTCCTGCCACACAATGGCTGCAGACCTGAAGGGAACGGGAGGCAATGTGCTCACATCCTAGCAGAGCGGAACAATCGGCCCCATCTCTGCAGGAGCCAAAAGCTGATGATATCCCCCCCTCTTGCCAGCAGATTATCCCTGGAAATCAAAGCTGAACTCCATTTATAGCCACCGAGTCAACGTGTGAAGGAACTGCAGCCTCCAGTGCTGCCAACTTCCCCTGAGCAGAAGAAAACTGCTCTGCCCCAGCCTGCTGCAGGCAAAGCCAACGCCTCTGCTGTCACCCCAATCCCTTGAGCTTGTCCTGTCCCACCCCAGAGGCACTGGTGCTTGTCCCCAGGAGCCACCACAGCCATCACATCTCACCGTGTGAGGAGGTTGGTGATCTGCAGGGCCAGCGCTGCCCGGTAGCGATCCTGCTCCTGGACCAGGTAGCGCACTTCGTCATGGATGCTGATGCAGAAGCGCCCGTTGATGTCAAACTCCTCGAAGAGCCACTTCATGGCCACCAGCATGAGATGCAGGTAGTCGACAGCCGAGCTCTGCACCACCCAGTTCACTCTGCTGGTCAGAAACTGGTAAAAGCAAACACAGATGGATGCTAAGAGAGTATCAGAGTTCAGGGTCCAGGGTCTGGTCCCGATACAGCTCCTGGGAAAAGTCTTAAATTCATAGTTGTTGGGTTTTTTGATGGCATGCAGATACAGAAAAGGGGCAATGGGTTTCCAAGAGCCTATGGGGTCTCCAGCATCTAAGAAGGGCTGACCGTGGGTCTGCCATTTTGGAGAAGACAAGCAAAGCTGAGAGCTCAGCAGCACAGAGCCGCATCCTTACCTCTCCCTTGGCCACGGCGGGCTCCAGGGCCCTGCTGATGTGACAGCCCAGCACCGGGGTCTGCGGGGAGGGGGATAAGGCGATGCTCTCCAGCTTGTTGAACATCTCGGACTCGGTGCCTCCAGCCCACACTCTGTGCTCCACCACGTCCCACTTCTTCCTCCTCCGGGACCTGGCGGGGCAGGGGGGTTTGCTGGAAGCTGGGAGGAGGCTGCAGGCTCCATTTGAGAACCTCAGATGCTCCCTCCCAGTTTGGGCCAGCTGGATGAGCCCCTGCAGCCTCCTGCTGCTAACTGGGAGAGACTGAGACCCCCCAAATCAAAGCCATTCAGCCCCGGGGGAGCAGAGAGGATATGGACTATCCAGCCCCACCTCCCTGCTCTGCCCACTGCCCACATGGCTGCAGCTCCCTCCACCCCCCCGATGCCACCAGAGCCGTGCAGGGTTGGAGCATCTCACCTTTTGGTGGCTTGTCTCTGCAGCCGGTGGGCATACTGCATTGACACCGATCCATCCTCCGCCCTGTCCACAGCCAGGTCCAGCTCCCTCACCAGCCACTCCCCCTCCTCAGAGAGACGAAAC